GATGATGATGATGATATTATTATTATTATTATTATTATTATTATTATTATTATTATTATTTCCTTGTGAGCCTCATACATACATATACTTTCTCATACACATTGGGATAACAATACATTTCCTTGCCTGACAACATTGTTATTTCAGGATACTACAAAAGGGGAAAAGTGAAGTACTTTGAATATGAAAAACTTGGGCTGCCAGAAAAAAGACGCACTATAATGCTAGAAGATCAAATTAGATTACTGTGTTGAGTTTAAAAAAAAAAATCTGGTTTAAATCCCCAGGTTGCCATGATGGGCCATTATCTCTCACCCTAACATCCTTGCAGGGTTCTTAGCTCAGTGTATTTTCTTTAAATGTAATCTTTATTGAAAAGAGGCATATCTGGCCTGATTCATGCAATACACCAAGCCATAAACCAATCAAATCACATGATGGTTTAGTATGTTGTGTGAATCCAGCCAATTTTGGTTTATCCAACAAACCATGATTAAGACAACTGTGGCTTAGCACGATGTATGAACTCAGATTAAGTATTCATCTTCAGGTAGCCCCATGAGGAAGCAGGAGCAGGACTGCATTTCTCACCCCATTCCAGTGCAATGCAGCCCCACACGCTGTCAACTGCACATAGAGGACTCTTCCCCAGCCTAGTGCTAACCAGTTCGGTGGGGCTGCAACTCATACAATTCCCATGGAAGATGGCCAGCAGCCAGGCTGCCAGGCGATTCCAGGAACTGAAGCTGATTGATACTGGAATCCCTCTAGGTGATTGGGACCCTGTGCAAAGCAGTATCCCGGGCCCAGGAGTTACTTGTTCGAACTGTCACCTCCTCCCTAGCATCATTCCCAGCTTACCTTAACAAAAATGATCGCTGGAAGTTTTCCTGCCAGATGTAGACATTTGGTGGTGGTGGTGGGGAGCAAGAATGTTCACGGGAAGGGTCAATGAAGTCAAGATGGCAGTCATAGTTGAATTAAAAAAAATTCCCTCTTTTACATGCACGTGACACCAAAAAAGGGATGGGACTTTGATCATAGTCCTAAGAGCCTCCCCTCGCTTGAGTTTTTTCATCTCTCTTATAGTCATCCTTGAGGGAGGAAAAAAGACAGAAGGATCCACCAATTTCTCTCCTGAAGTTGCCCTGCATACCATAAATTAAAAAAAGACCACTGGCTGGCATTACAGGTAGCCCTCATTTAGCGACCATTCAGTTACAGCAGTGATGAAAAAGTAACTTTATGACCAATCCATGCATTTATAACCTTCACAGGTCTGTAAAGCAAGGAAAGCTGAAGTAAGATTGTAAGCACAGTCGTGGTTTCACTTAGCAGCCACTTCACTTAACAACTGGATTGCCAATCCCAACTGTGGTCACTAAACGAGGACTACCTGTATACATTTGGCAGAATAAGAGACCATAAAAGATATGCTCGTACAGTTTTCTGCCAGCAAAAACACTGGTGAATAAAGCTTTAACTCAGCTTTGAGGAAGAGCCGTAAGATACTAAGCAATGGCACATATGAACCAATTCATGCCATGCTTGACAGAGGTGATATAACAATGTGCATCAAAGTTTGAATTTCTTCTGTGAGAAACACAATAGGAGGGAAGAATACTACCCTGTAACAAGTGGATCTCTGTTGCTTTTGAAAGAAGAAAGAGATTGAGAGCAGCAGTTATTTAAAAAGCATCAGATGGAAAACGTCAGGCTTTGGGTTAGTTTCCATTGACATCTAGCCCCAAAATGAGCATGATGGAAACATTTGGGGTGATGATTTGGACCTCTAAGACTTCCATTTCTGGTCAACCCTTCCCTTAAGGAAGACCAAGGAGAATGACCAAAAATGGTAAGTTAGGGTTATAATGATTTGTAGCACAATGGTACAATGTCTACCTGACCATCGGCCAGAGCCACATCCATCCAGCGACTCTTCTCTTCCAGAGCGGCCAGACTCACCTGCTCTTCCAGAGTGGCCTGAACACAGCTCCCACCAGCAGTAGAAATTTGCGGGGGAACAGCCCCATGTACTTTGCTCCCATGCAGCAAACAGCCTAAGGAGAGTAAAGCACGGAGTTCACCTGACCTGGCTTGGGATCCAACTCAGTCCAGTCCAACAGAATGAAAAACAGGTTGAAAAAGACCAGGTAGGTGCACAAGCCAACCAACCTACTCCTCAACTCAAAAAACATACAAAACCCTCTGCAACTTACAGAACACTTTCTATCACATACACATCCTTCCGTTCATCCACCATTCTCACTGCCATCTTGCAGCCAAGATGTTCCTTGAAGTCAAGGACTAAAACTAACATCATGATTAGATTCGGGGAAGCTGTTTATGGATTGCTGGGACTTTCACCGTTTTGTTCAGCCTCAGTTTAGGTCCTGGCCAAAAAACATGGGAAAATCCTATGCAGAGGGAAAACTCCACCCAGGGTCAGGGTTAGCCTTCCTTGAAAATGGTGGTAAACTATGTTTGCAGTGTGGCAAAGAAGGTTACATGGATGTCCCCATGTAGTCACTGGGAATCAAGGTCAACGTGAAGGAATTTTTAGCTCTTTGATAGCTTCTTCCTGCTGCCCAGTCCTGGTGGTGTTAGTTGTAGAAATTGGTATGAAATAAAAGCATCTTGCTTCTTTCCTTCCCCAACCCCAATGGCTGGAGCTGTTTTTCCTCTCTAACATTGATAGCAATGTGTTTCCTAGCTTGGCACTTTCCAGATGTGTGGAACTAAAATTCCCATTATGCACAGCCTGCACTAGTATCCAGTTGAGAGCTTTATTGGCTGAGAACGATGAGATTTTTAACCCTGCAAGATACCAAGTTGGAAAAAGGCTAGAAGATTGCTTTAGAAAGCATTGTTACAGCTGCAATCTCCATCCTTACCCCAATGGCTGCCTCCAAACCAAAAATGTTTTAGCAGGGTTGCCCTTTACATTGCACAACTAGGCTGGCAGAGTTTTGAATTCACGTGATTCCCCTGAATGAGAACAGACATGAATCCTACAATAACTAATGCTGGCAATTGTCTGTGAAAATGACCTGGTCCAGATCCAAAGAGGAACTGGGAAGAATGTCAGAATCCTGTGGTTCAGTCCAAATATTAGATTATGTATTTGTTAATCCAATGTTTGTTATGACATACTGCCAGGATAAGAAATATAACGGAGCAGCCTAAGGATTTAGACTAAATTCATATTTTATGTCTAAACATTATTGTAACCTTCCATTTTCTCTATAAACATGGAGACATTATTACACTGACTCTACCTTTTCTTCAGAAATCTAATTAATTTCTTAAACACTCTTATTCATGGACAGATTTTTTTTCTTCAGTATTATTTTCTTCACAGCCCTATGACAGCATTGGACAGTTGAAGACCTAGTGACTAAGTCCACCATAGAGTTTCATGGCAAAGCGATAGTTTCAACTGCTTGTCCCTTTCCATACTGCAAGGCTCAACACGCCCAGCACTTGCTATTACACAAAAGCTTTCATGATTTATGAAGACATCTGTCAGGGATCTATCTTGACTGAGTGCCCAAGTTCACTACAAATATTTCTCCCCTCCCTTTCTGAGTTCTGATGGTAATTTGGGACTTTGCATTGAATTAAAGTGTGTAGACTTCATGAATAAATGGCAAATCTGGATTTTATTTCTTTTTTAAGATAGGATGTTGCAGGTATATATCCACAATATGAAAAACTGGCCTAAGTGTAATGAATAATAGGATGAAATTATAAGATAAGTTAGAGAGGCAGAGAGACTTCAATTAATTATTTCTGAACCATGTTCATTGAGTTTGTTTTTACTTTATGTAGGATAAAGAATGGATTTATACTGGAATTTGCTTAATTATGATTGTTTTTAAAAACTTCCTAAGTCTATTTTTCAACATTTGTGGCACTGCTCTGATTCCAATATTAAAGGAAGATAACTATAAATTCTTATTAGAATGTTTAAGGAACTGCCATGTCTAACAATATTGCACTTTTCATGTTGCAGATGCTCATGTTTCTGCCTTCTGAAGCATAAGAAACATTTGTCTTTTTGTGGAACTTGAGACAGATACACAACATGGGATTTAGCATCAATAGAGGATCCAAATATATGGAACAACTTTCCATACACCAGTCTGCTTGATCCAGTATTATAAAAATGCACATGATATGAGCAAGTCTGAAGGTTTGTGCTTCTCTTTTACTTTGTCTTATTTAAGACAAAGTAGTAAACACACTGCAAAAAATGAGAATACAGCTTACATTAAAAAGTATGCTTACATCCCTCCCCCCGCAAAATATGGATCACAAGGATCCATCATTCCTATGTTGTGCATTGGTTGTCTATTACAACCATCCTGGTCACTCATTTCAACAATCTTATTCTGACCCTTATGAGAAAATAGTTTTTCTGGTATTACTTGGTAATGTTTCATTGTCTAAACATGTAATATTTTCTAGGTAACATTTGGTACTGAGATGCAAGGAATGCTCTGTTCTTTGATACACATATTGTGATGAGGCCGTGTCCTAATCCAGGAGCCACTAGGATCAGCTGAAGATACATTCCTCCATTCAGATGAGATCAGGCAGCACAGTGCAGAACCAAGCACACTTCTCTATAGGTGCTCCAGAAACAGAATCTTAAGCCTCTCTTAGTCCCATCCTTGAATCTTGCTGCTCAGTATCAGATTATATCCTTTAAAGATATTGGTCTTCATCCTGATTGTTGGTGAGCAGTGACCATTTGTCTGCTTCATTCTCCAAGCCACTTGACGCTATATCCGAAGTCAGGGGAGAAAGAGACACTTGACTGATATCATCCCAGGTGGCTAGTTTGGGAGGCTTTGGTCTCCAGTCATCCATTCCAATATGGACACTAACTTGAGAAGGAGTCAGTGGCTTCATGCAGCCTTGAGCCTCAGCTTCATATCTTTCCAGGACCGTTTTCTTGTAGCTATGAAAAGAAAACAAACACACACAAATATATATATCTAATAGAAGCACATAGACAGATATGACAACTGTCTGGCAAATACTAGTAATCTGCAAATCATGAGTTTATTTAAAAATGGGACAGTTGAATTGGAGAAAATATAAGGACCAGGCTTCTCCAACCAGAAGACCTCCTGATGTGTTAGATCCATGCCTTGATTTTGGGTTGCTGAGTGCCTGGTGTTGTGAAAAACATAAGTAAAAAGAATGCAGTTGCCACCATCTGCATTATCATTATCACCAATATCATTATGTCTGGCACCAACATGCCAACAATGGTAGTTGAAGACATTTGCTCAGTACTTTTCTTCTTAGAACCAGGCTAGCCACTGCAGCTATGGCCCATTTTTAGAAGTCGTCAATCCTCTTCAAGCAAACTTATTTAGAGAGATCCAGCATGGTGCAGAGCTAGAAGAAAGGCTATTGCACACACCTCCCCCACTCCCCCCTAGCACCAGTCTTGACTAGTACTAATAGCCTAGATTTAAACTTTTAAGGGAAAGGATACTCCAAATCTATTTGGTGCTACTGGGTAGAGCTCACTAATTCATGACTGGGAGAAGACCTACCATTTTAGCTGCAGGGAAGAGAGTAATACGGATACTGAAGATGCAGCCATTGCAGCAGACCCCATCCATGGCTGCAGCACAAGTCCTAAAGGCATAAATACTCCTGACACAAGAAAGTAGATAGATGAGATTTAGAACATTGGTTAAATAAAGTTATATGTAAGCATTTCCAAGAATGCAGAATTTAGTCTTAAATCATTTTGTTATCACCTGCCTGCTCAAAGCTGAAGAGTTTACCGCAAAATACAATTACTTTTGATGCTTCTACATTCCTTCTCCCACAAATTTATTGCTTGTTTTCTATTATTCATGCTTAGAATGACATCAGTTCAGTACAAATGGAGCGCAAAACTGGCATGCAACTATTAGAGGGATTTTATCAGCCTCCCCTAATTTGTTGTCCTCCAGAGACATTGGACTTCCACTTCCACAAAGCCCTAGTCATCATGGTCAAACAAGATGAGCAAAGGCTATGTAAACTAGGATATTGTTGACATTAAAATCCAATCTGCTTAGACAGCACCACAGTGAGGATGCTGAAGGGTAGATTATAAATTAAGCCAAAAGCTTTTTCGTCACAGTGCATTTTCCGTCTTGAAGCACTCAACAAAACAGTAGGGTACTGAGATGTGAGTTTCCCTCACTTACATTTTTCTGTCTCCTCCCTCTCCTTTGCTTTCAAATTATTGATTATGGATATGATGTTACACAGTAGCTCTTAATAATAGGAATAATAATCCCCCTGTGATGTTTCTAAATAATTAATAAATCTCTTGCTTACCTTCCACCAGCCCATCTGCTTGAGAATCATAGTAGGAATAATTTACCTGCTGCAATGGGTATCCCAATGAGATTGTATATTAAGGCCAGGATTAGATTTATTTGGATTCTTTTCATTGTCTTCCTGGATAGATGGATACTTGCAACCACATCAAGCAAATTATTCTGTACCAAAAAAAGGAAGGGATTTTTTTTCCTCCCAACTTCTCAAAAGGTCCCAGGAATCTCCCGTACCTCCCCATCACCACTTAACATTTTGTAAGCTCACGTGAATCAGCACAACATCTGCTGCTTCAATGGCAACATCTGTGCCTGTTCCAATAGCAATGCCAACATCAGCCTGGGCCAGCGCAGGTGAGTCATTGACCCCATCTCCAACCATGGCAACTTTTCTTCCAAAGGTTTGGAGCTCCTGGACCTTGGCTACTTTGTGAGATGGGAGAACCTCAGCAAATACTTTTCTGATCCCAACCTAGATACAGAAAGATGCCATTTGTTTGAATCTATGTATTTTTATAAAATAGTCTATTGGGAAAAAATAGCATTAAAACTGGGTCTAGAGCTCTTCTGAATTTTTTCCAAAGTAGCCAGAGAAATGTGAAGGCAAGAGCTGACATTCAGTGGCATACCATCCCTAAACCCACTGTTGGCATAAAGCCATCATGACTACTTCTAAACATCCAATCTTCTTTTCAGAAATAGGAAAGGCATTAATATTAGCTTCTCAAAAGCTTTGGATGGGTGAGGAAGGAGGGAAAGGCAGAAATAATAAGTACCATAAAAGCTATAGATTTGTAAGAGGCTGACTGTTTTTAAACTTTGTTATGTAAAATATTGCCACATGTACCGAATGATCCACATAGAACCATACACATCTTAACACAGATGCACAAGGACAACTCAGTACTCAGCTTTAGATTCTGTACTGGATGGTCTTGTTCTCTTTTGAAATCTGGTAACTCTAGGCATGGAGGAAATGACCCATACCAGGGCTGCCATCTACAGGAAGACTTTACGCTTAGCTTCTCGGCTTCTCTGTCCAGTTGCTTGGAAGATAACTGACAGAATCTATTATCTGGACTAGGAATTACCAATCTAGGCCCTCCCAAATTTTTTGGATTACAGTCCCCATAAACTTCATTGCAGTGCTGCCTGGAAGTGACAGGAAGTGAACTCCAAAACATCTTGAGAGTACCAGGTTGCACGACCCTAGATCAGATTGACAGGCTAGAATGAGGATACTAAATCCCCATGTAGTAGCAACCTTAATGGGAGACCTTGAGTCAGTCTCCACCCTGCCTCACAGAACTTTTTTGGCGGACTAAAAAGATTGGGGGGAACACATCATGTTATATTCCTGACTTATCTTGAGGTACAGTAGGATAACGTATTATCACGCATCTTTCATTATTGCATTATAAACTCTCTCAATTTTATTCTACTGAAGCCAGCATTGCTTGTTTCTGTTCATTGCGCCATTCAGCCTGTTAATTGGTTCAATCCAAGTTTGGTGTCATGTGGTATCAACTTTGCAGGATGCACATTACTTTTATACACAATGAGAATCTCCAAGAAATGTGAAAGCCATGCTCACCTTCTCAATGAGCCAAACAAATGTTAATAATTCTCTTGCATACCTTTTGACAAGGAACCATACCTGAGTTGCAATTGCTTTGGCTGTTTTCCTATTGTCTCCCGTAATAAGCACCACATCCACTCCCATATTCTGCAATATGTGCATTGCTAAAGCTGCCTCTGGCTTGACTGTGTCTGCTATTGCCATCATGCCACAAAGTACACCTACAAAAAAACATATCTTTACTTACACTTATAAGATCTGTGTGATGGGCTCTCTCTGGGCAGCCATACTATAACCTTCCCTACCCTAGTGTCCACCAGAGGTCCTGGACTTTATCTCCTCTAATTTTCCCACCCAGCATACCCAGTGGTGATGTTACAAGAAAGAATTAGGGAAGCTAATGCTCAATGCATCTAGAGGGCACTAGCTCGGGGAAAGCTTTTACAATGCCACAGTTCCTTTATTTTGAATTTTTAGCTGTAGAGCTGAGCAACATCCCATTAGCACAGCTTTGTCCATCTTTCAGAAGTCAAGCTATTTCTTCCTCTAGTCCTGATAGGTCAGCCTACCATTTATGGCCACCAGAATAGCTGTGTGTCCTTTCATTTCATGGCCTCTCATGGCCTCATGAACATCACTGGAGACATGCAGGCCATTCCGCCTCATCCATTCCCGATTCCCAATCAGCACTGAATAAGTATGAGAGACTGCAGTATCTGTCAGACATAAGAATACAGAACTGTGAGAATTTTATAAGACTTTTACAAGCTACAGGGAAGGCTTTCTTAAGAACTTACGTTCCAACCTGCTTACTTAATAGGTATCAATCTATATAACTAGATAGGTATGGTAAAATATCAGTTTCCTTGTTCTGGTAAGCCAATTCAGGATATGCCTCAAAACTTTCAAGATGTTATGAGAAGTACAATGTTGTGGAACTAGATTTGTAGGAGATCCTTTTACAGCTTGACAATGCTTAAAACCAGGTAGGAAAGAGTACACAAAACAAATATCTAAAAAAAAAAAAAAAAAGTTACTCCCTGACTACAGGGAACCAGGAACTAGGAAAAAAACTGACTTCCAGAAAGAAGGGACTAGACTTTGCAAGTCAAAAGGGAACTGTGATGGAAAACAGAGTACATATTATCAGATCATTCAGACCAAGCTAAGGCAAACTTCTTTCACTTGGAACTGCACAGAATCTCTGGCATTAAGATATCACTGTACAGTCCTGGACTTCTACCTTGCCAATAAAACAAAGGGGGGATTTGCTGCATAAGTGCTTCTTTCTGACAGGGCAGTTTGGTGCCTTTCTGCGCTGTGGCAGGAACATGAAGATGGCAGCAACTCTTGAGACTTGGCTGGACGGCCTAGGTTGCTCAGTCCCTCAACTTACACAAGCTGGAGACATTTCATTTAGGAATATTCTTTCATTTAGTTCTCCCTCTGTGGGTTATTCACATTACTTCAACCTTTTTGCAAACTGATTCCTATGGGCCTTAAGAGGTTTTATGTTGAATGCAACACACTCTAAGGTTTTTTTTTTTTAAAAACTTTCCTAAACACCATCTGTTATCAATTAGATGACTTACTAAATCTAAATCAGTGCTCCTTTGGGTCTTCTTTTCGTTAGAGGCCTGTTGCTTGCTAAATCTGAAGTTGCTGAACTGATCAGAGCACTCCATTATCCAAGCTTAAAAAGTTGCCTCGGAGGCTTTTATGATGTCTTCCTCATTTAAGAAACTTAAGAATCCCCTCATTGTTGTTTTCAGTGTCTAATCTTGACGTATTTTCCCATCACTTCCATATTTCTCCAGAAAAGATTAAATCAGGAAAGAAAGATGGCATAGCTGCACAATACCCTTTGATTGGTAGAGCACTTGAGCAGTGCTTTAATGTCTTCAATTAGGAACACAGTCAACATGGGGTGGCTGGACCTACTGTAACTTAGGTCATTCCTTAAGCAAGCCTCCCCCATTTATAAATAGCACCTTGCTTACCCCTTACTTTGGGGATTGGAGTCTGAGAACGCTGATCTTTAACACCATTATCAAGGCCATCAATATGAGAGCTGAGACTGGTCACATCCTGCTGAACCTCGTCACCCAATATGGTTTCAATGCTGCTAACATTACAGCTTATTCCACATCCAGAAACTGTCTGAAAATCTTTACAGCATCCAAGGATCTCTGTGCCAAGTTCCTGCAAAATATATATTTTAAATATCACTTTGAAGCAGCAAAATGCTTCATTTTCATGCATAAATAGAAGCATTTAAAACCATAAGCAGTTTTCAAAAGCTTTTCTGAAATGGTGATACGCAAAGTGCATGAAATTAATACCATATGTAGCTATTTTCTGGAAGAATAGCTTCCCCAAATTTAAACTTGAAAAGCATATACAAAATGAAATAAGCGCACTTTAAATTCAAATTATGTGTCCCACTATACTACCTTAATTTTAAATCAAATTAGTACTACAAACTGGCTTCGAAGAATATTTTACAATTCAAAATAGAGTTTCTCACAGCTATTCTGAAACCTTGGCTTAGATGTCATGAATTTCCTCAAAGTAAAGTAGCCCTTTTCGTTTTCAGAGAAAAGTAGCTATATCTTTGGGGAATGTTTGACTTGCTTACGTCTATTTGACGGTACTGAGAAGTGATGGCCCTTCTAAGGTTACTGTATTAGGTTCTTGGAAGCCCAGCCAGGATGGTCAATGGTGAGCAATGCTGGGAATTCTGGTTCTGCCATTTTTAGAGAGCTAGGGATTGCCCCTCTCCATTTTAGATCAAGCTTGTACACAAGAGATACACTGGTTTGACAACTTTGTCCCCTCAAGGACTGAAATATTCTAGTCCCTCTTGCTTCAGGCTACTACCCTGAGCCAGCTAAAGGGGAATTGGGTGGGAGTTCATGTCCAACTGGTGCCCTGTGCAGCCACCTATTCCTGGCTCCACTCAGCTCAGGAGTGATGCTTAAGTCTGAAAAAAGGGGAGGCCCGCACTTGGTGAGATACACAACAATCTAGCCATGAACTAGGATGGCAGGACTCCCTACACTTATTTCAGGGTCATTATAGTCGGGCAGGCATAGAAACCAACTGAGCAGGTTCCCACAGCTTCAGCTGGAGGTAGGCTGCCATGGCCATAAGAAGGGAGCTTCCTCATGTAGTGGTACTGGCTCTGAAGAACCTGATCCTAGGAAAAAGCATTACTATTTTTCCAAAGAGCTGAGGAGAAACTTTAAACTGAGAGGGTTCAATTTTCTGATATTAGTTCTCACTATAAGACATCAATGTGGCTCCTTCTGCTCTTTGACCATGCCTCTTTCAAGACATTTTATGCAACTTAAGATGTTTTAAATAAGACTTAACAATTAAACCATCTTATGGCTTGTCATATACCAAGACAGAACTTTCTACCCGAAGCAGGACTGAATGTCAATGAAAAGAACATACCTCTTTGCAATATTGAGTGACAGCCATTCCTAAAGGATGCTCACTGCTAGCTTCGGCAGTCCCAACAAGAACAAGGAACTTCTTCAGAGGCAGGGTAGCTTCTCTGTCTCCTAGCAAGAGAACGCGGGTGACTCTGGGAACACCGTAAGTCAGGGTTCCTGTTTTGTCAAACATCACTGTCTTCACCTGGAAGAAGTCATATTGGCAAGTGATGGCTTTGACTGCTAATTTGACACATCCAGAGTTTAGTTCCTTTAGGATAGAGAGGATAGGATTGCTCACAGAGTAGGGCATATTATGTCAGAAAAGCTGCCCCAGGCTTGGCAGTATGGTGCCATCTTTCTTTCTTGGGAAAGGGACCAGCTGCCTGTTTTTAGAGATGGCAAAAACATATGCATAATGGGAATTTCAAAAGTGCCCTCTTAGATTAATTTTTTGACACACAAACAAAATATCAAATATTTTTTGAATACTAAAACATGTAAGCAGCAATTCAAAATCCAGTACTTCTCCCTTATCTAATGTCCTTTAGGGAGAGATTTACATAGTTTGTACATTTCTTCTGAGTACCACAATGGAAAATTGATTTATTTGTCCTATTTCCAAAATCTAAAGTTATCATCCTCTAATATTCCCTCAATGTTGAGCATTTTTTTTTTTATTAAGTAAATTTTCAATTTTTCCTATTTTTTGTTAGGTAGTCTCTTTCAGGTCAAACTTGACTCATGGATACATCCATGTGGTTTTCTTGGCAACATACAGAAATAGTTTGTCCCAGCCTTCTTCTAAGAAGTATATGGTTTTGTTAGGGCCATTAATAATATTATCTGACAGATCTGCTAATGTCTTAAATGCAAGTCAATCTCTGCATTTAAGTCTGACAAAGTTTCACATTTTGGTCCTTCACTGCTCAACTGGATGTCAAGGACAGGAGCAGAATAATTATTTCTCTCTCTGAAGACCAAGAACTGGAACTATTCCCTATGTAAAACCTGAATTCTGGCCATCTGAATTAAGTTGCACATTAAAGCTGCAATTGTTAGCCCTGGAACCATTCTAGTGTTTACTGATCAGTAGGCATGCAAAGGAACACACTGTAAGCCTGCTTTCTGGTTTGTTTAAAAAGACAGTGGCATAGGCTATAATCATTTGCTTCCAGTTTAGGGCTAATAACAACAGTCATGAGTTAGCAATGATAGTATTAACCTTGTGTGCCATTTCCAGGGGCTTCCCACCTTTGATGAGAATACCATTCTGAGCAGCAACTCCAGTGCCCACCATCACAGCAGTTGGAGTAGCCAGGCCCAAAGAACAAGGACATGCAATGCACAGCACAGTGATGGAGGTCTGGAAGGCAAACCGTAGGATAATTTCGGGTTTTGAGATGTGCTTGCTGTGATTCTAGAAATAAAGCAAGAAATATTTACTTGCAAGAGATATCTAGTTATTAGCAATCTTTTATATTAGCAATATTACACACACATATGCTCTCACACACCTTTATGCTGTTCATTCAAGGACAAATCGCTATATGTGAAAATTTAGTCCCTCCACCAATTAGCACACCCAGAACTATAAATTTATTTAGGTTGCAACTGTTTCAAAATACTCTTCCAAATAAGAATATTCTATCTATCAATTGTATTTAATTGCCTAGTCAGAATACATTATCTTCTCCTAATAGTTAAATCTGATGATTTCCATTTTGCTCCTGTCCTTAGTTATCCTGCTCAACAGCTGCTCTTCTTCTTCAGCAGCATTTTGGGCATTTGAAGACAGACAGATAAATAATTTGGGACACTGCAAGATGGCTAAGATCCAAAGATTTCCTCATCTTCTTTAATTTCATGATTGCTGTTCTGTTTGGCAGCCCAAACTAAACAAGGCTCTGTAACTGTATAGTAACACTAGAACTAAAACTTCTGCTTTTGCACAAATGATATTTGGCAATTGATCAGATTAATTTACATTTACCCACTATATTAATGTGAGGGAGAGAGAGAACAAATGCATGTCTTGACACTGAGATGCTATGATAACTGGGTAGAAGTAAAAAAAAAAAAGTTCAACTGGATTTTTTTTGCATTTCATACCCCAGTGTGATAGCTAAGATATTGAGAAGCCTCCTTTTGATCCCCATTGAAATGTAAAAAAACCTCTGCATTGGAAACCAGGATGGAAAAAAAAAAATTGAATACCTTTTCAGATTTGAGAGATAAATGTGACAGATGTCTACATCCTGGATTTCATACTGAATCTGGAACCACTGAACTGGGTTTCCTGGTAAACTTAAATGTATGTTCCAACTTTCACAAAAATACTTTTGAATAATTGCAAAAAAAAAAAAAAAGGTACAGGTATACAAATGTACAACATACACATGTGCAAACCTCTGGGCTGTTCATTGCTAGCTAATTCTTCTTGGGTATTCTCAACTTATTTATACCTTTTATACTCTCCTACCACAATACCCCCATAAGAAGTCACCCTGAAAAGTTATGTTTTGCTATTGTTCACTTGCAATTTTTATTAATGCATGTTAAAGCCACTTTGAAAAATGTTTGTCTGGATATAGGTATAGGTAGGATATAAGTAATTACAATAATTAAATAAACAGTACTTACAGGAAAATATTTCAGCACAACATCAAATTGTATAAACCCAATTACAATCCATGTTATCAGTGTTGCTGTTGAAATTATTATGATAAATGGGACAAAATAACCACTAAATCTGTCAGCCAGTTGCTGGATGGGTGCCTGCAAGTCAGAAAACAATAGCTTCTTACTGGTGCACAATACAAAAAAGATACATAAACTTAACTAATCAAGTCTTTTAGAAATACATCTGGTTGAGAGAAATACAGGTTTCTCTCCATATCTCTCACCTACTTAAATCCCCTGATTAAAATACCATTTGTGAATTAAGTGAAGGTTGAGTTGCCTCTTGAAGGTGTGAGCTGAACTGGACATTTAAAACCAGAAGCTGCCTTACCAAATATAAAATGAGACTTTCTTTCCACATGTGTGTGTGTGTGTGTGTGTGTGCATGCACAAAAGTGCTTTGCTATTTTTCTTCTCAATCAGACTCCTGTAACAAGACTGAGCTCAGCTAGGAATAAAGCATTTGGACCTGTGAGAGGCGTGATGGACAGCCATACAGCAACCATGGATGGGATTTAGTTCTCGTTATCCATGTGACCTTCTTATGTTCATAAACTGATACTTGGGAGCAAACTGAAAGAATTTAAAAAAATAATTTGTGGTTTTACTAGTTTGCTTCAAAACAAATAGTTTTGGGTTGGCGGGGGTGGGGACTGACAAGTTTCAGACCAGATCCATGATTTGTTCTAACCATGTGTATGCATAAACCCTTGGGTTCATGCAGCCCACTAAGTCAAAGCCTAAACACATTCCAACTTATTACAGTGAGTAAACCCAGTTTCTCTTAAATCCAAACTGAAGGCAGGACTTCTATGCCTACTTTACATGTAGTAGCTGACAATGGAGGCACCCAAACAGACATAGCTCTCCCATGCCCTCCAGCACAAATCTTCTAATGCTGAAGAGTAGAACCCATTGAGTCATCATTCCAATCCCATGGAGAACAGATGTTTTGTCAATTACTACACTATGGAGAAAACACAGCCTCTCATTTCAGGAGAAGTACTAATTTGTAGAAAGATTTTTGGATCTAGCTCAACTTCTGGGTAACCATGAAATATAGAGGCGGGATAAAAAAAATCTAAAAAAAAAATACTATTATTATTGTGCAACAAAAGCAGCAGTCTGAAGAAATGCTTTTAGCCTCCTACTGAAAGCAAGAGGATTTACTTCCAAGGAAGTATGTTCAGGACTGTAAAGACTAGAGCAATCTATAAAAGGTGTTTCAACCAATAGTGCTCAGTGATAATGTCCCTGGCTCAGCAGTTGCAACTGCACATGATCTTTCTGCAGTAAGATCATAAAGGCCTTCTGGAGTCTCCTATCTCTTGGCCCGTGCTAACACATGCTTTCCTTACCAGTTCCCTGGCCCAGCAGGACTGACTAGTCCACAGAAGACCATGTAGGCCATCTCATCCAACACGATTTAACACAGTTGGCTTAAGGACATATTGTGAACTGAGCACAGAAAATAAATAGGATTCAGAAATCAAGTAGGCAAGCCTAAATGGACTAGATTTAGAATGGTCTTCCTAAACCAGGTGCCCCCCAAATGCTAGCAGAAGCTGGAATTCAGGGACCCAGATGGGGAAGAATGGGGATGGGGAAAGAACTTTGAGAAATATTTTAGGACAGTGGGTTTTAGTTTCATACAAGGGCTTTGGAGTAGGCTCCAGTAATTTGAACACCCAGATGAGCATATCAATTCAAAAGCCCCCTCTCCCCCAGCACTTTGTTTTACCTTTGACATCTGAGCTTCTTCAACTAGTTTCACAATTTGTGCCAGGGTGGTATCAGAACCAACATGAGTTGCATTTACAAGCACAGAGCCATGTGCATTGAGAGAACCTGCAATAACTGTGCTGCCAGGTTTTTTAGTGACTGGCATGGCTTCTCCTATAAATAAAATAAGTAAATCCACTAACATGTTTTAATAGCATTTCACACATATAGTGGCAGTTACAAAAAATTAGAGGTACATTAAGATATACTCTCAATTTTTAAGAAAGCCACACCTCAGTGCAAAGTAACAAGATCAAGGTGCAGATGAACTGCAAACCGCTCTTTGGTGAAATCGAATCCTAGCCAGCCAACAATAATTCTTTGTTCTCTTTTTCTGCTATTTTCTTCCCCATAGCAACCTTGCATTGCATTCTTAACAGCTAAGCCACTCAAGCAGCAAAATGCAACCCTTCATCCAGAAACCGATAAAATGAACTCGTTTCCTTTCCAAAATGACTTTATTAAATTGTTTCTGCCATTTATCAGGAAAATAAATTTGAATTCCAAGGAATGCCTTCAAATATATCTTCTGCATAGTGAATTGGGAATCAAGAGCTCTGGACCAAAGGAATGGAGGGCAGAGCAGAGGAGGAGGGAAAAATGTTTGCTAATGTAGATCACTTTGTTATTTCACCCAGTTATTCATAGGACCCAACAGTGTTCATCTGGGGCTAAAGGGTTCCCCGTCCCAATTTCCATTCCCTTCAGGCACCAAAACTGCTGGGATTCTTTCCAGATAAAATTTGGGCCATATGTGGCTGATGCAACACAGAGAGAAGTCCAACCAGAAGTAAAACTGCCTTCAGACTGAGATGAGTCACATGTTGTTTTCTTGGAATGAAACAGAAGTGGTTCATCTTTCTAGCTTCTGGGATCTTCTTTCACTTCCCACTCTACCCTAAACCCTTGGACTTCCAACATCATTCCCCCATTCAAGTACTAACCTGGGCTTATCCAGTTTAGCCTTCTAATCAATCAAGGTCAGATAGATGTTACCTTTTTGGATGCTACCTAGCCCTGATTTATTTCATCTCCCCCCAATCTACCTGCATCTCAACAACTCTTTGATAGAGAGATCAATGCTTTAGAAAGGTAAATTATTTATTCTTTAAAAATAAGGAATTACCAGTTATAAGAGATTCATCGGCCATAGAATTGCCTTCAATCACTTTTCCATCAACTGGAAATTTCCCACCAGGGACCACCTTTACAATATCTCCTCGCTGAACTAGTTCAACGGGAATTTGCTCTTCCCTGTAAGACAGAATGCAGAGTTAAAATTCAATGCAACTTTTTTTCCAGGTCTTGCTTTTTTTCAGACAAAAGAAATTGTGCTATCTTAATAAAGATAAATATCCAGCAATAGAAAAAAACCGCATATGATAAGTAAGATTTTTTTTTAATATTCTAAAACTATGTTTATGTATAGTCATTTGACTGCATATACCAGAAGAGTACAATATTGGACTAAGGCCAAGGATATCAGCTTCATCTCCACCTTCAACTTCAGAAACTCACTGGGTGACTTTGGTCTATTCACTCTCTTTCAGCCCAGCCCACCTCACTGAGCTGTTGGAGGGAAACCTAGAGAAGAAAGTGCTGTGCATATCCACTCAAGCTCTTGGAGGAAAGGCAGCCTTAATCAATTTCACGATGCTGGAAAATCTGAACTCTGTCTGACCATGTAGCACAAGACAACATTGATTGCCCCAATCTAGATCTTACTCAAGTGATATGCAACATTACAAAGCAGATATTGTCTTATCTGTGGTCAGTTGACTTTACAAGAGAGAATAAAACCAAACACAATCATTTCTTTAAATTTTATTTATATTGATTGCATTTATATTCCACTTCTATCCAAATTAATTCTCAGCAATGAGTTAGAATAAATATAAAAGGAAAAAACATGCATAACTTAACACATATACATTTTTAAAATTCAGTCATATCTACATCTACTCCAAAAACTTAAAGTGAAAATTATTAAAATCAAATTTAAATCACATTTTTCTCAGTCTGATATATACAGATATAGTTAGACCCTTTGAGTGTTAAAATTAACCTATTTGTTATAATAAACATATTCCTTGTAATAACAGTTAAATAAAAACTAGCTGGCCTTCCTGGAAAGTCTTTAAGCAAGGAGTAGATAAAGGACATCCTCCACTTATTTTATATGTCCATCTAAACAAAGGCAGAGCTATTCTGATTTAGGTGTCATTGGTGAATGTTTATAGTGAACGTATCAAATATGACCTTCTATACATGTAAAAATCCTACTATACATGTAAACTCTAAATTCATTCAGAAATTTACACATATCTCATTAGAAAATGAAGGAATTAACATTTGGCCCACTAAATAAGAATTATTACCCAAGGTCAGATTTTGTTGCTTGTCAAAGTCCAGTAACTGTTGTTTTAAAATGCGTTACTGCAGTGTTTTTCAAACTTGGCCGTTTTAAGATGTGTGGACTTCAATTCCCAGAATTCCCTAGCCAGCATACTGGCTGGAGAATTCTAGGAGTTGAAGTCCACACATCTTAAAGTTGCCAGCTTTGAAAAACACTACCTTACTGTATCCATACCAATACTAACAGCTGGGGAGAGAATCCCAAAGGCGAAAAAAATGCTTTAGACTTTTTCTTGCCACTGGATGGTGAAGGGGTCATTAATTACAAAGGAGAATTTTGCAGGCACAATTCCACTTAGCTACTTAATCTACATACAGCGGTTCCTAACAGATGGATCAGACATAAAAGAATTATTTAAAACACAGAGCTATGTTACAGTATGCCCTCAAAATCAATTACAATCACCACAGTGCAATTACAGCCACCACTTCCATACTAATTTTCCAAGATATTGGAAGAACTGAAAATATTGCCACATAAAGAAACAAAACATTTGTACCACCAACATACCTGATGATGCAACTGTCAGGTCCAAGCGTCACTACAACAGCTTCTGTAGCTTGCAGAGAAATTAATTTAGCAAGGGCTTCTGATGTTTTACTCTGAAACAGAGACAGATGCCTGAAGCTAGTCTTCATAGTGTACTTGTGCCGCTTCCAGTTGAATTACATATACTGTATTCTAAAAACTTATCACTTTCCACCCTTATTGGTGCAAGAGCAGAGTGGAATGATAGCTATCCTAAAGAGAGGGCTTAGATGCTTGGACTATAGATCCCATTCTATAAGTAGTTATGCACTGTGCAAAAGCATTAGTATTTCACAGAATGGGAGTCAAAAGAGCATTGTGTTTTGAAATACACAAACAAAAGGAAGCCAACCAGCATCTCTGGGAAGCTCCTTTTTCTGACACACCTTTCATCGCTATTGTTAGACTGGATGCCTGTATTAGGATTTCACTTCTTTACTCTTTTTACCTTGTCTATCTGTCATCTGTGGTGACTGCCCATCTCTCTCACCCCCCATTATAAGCACTGCTGCTTTTCTTCCATAGAACAATGGAGCACATAAGACTTACTTCTATGCAGCCGTAGGGTACACTAAATCTGCTTAGGCTCATTAAGCTTGCATCTTTGTGTGCAATCTAAATATACCTTGTAAAAAAGTTTTAAGAAAAGTGAACCATTGCATTCTTTCACCATATTATGCTAAGTTATGACAAATGCATTTGACACATTGTTCGAGCAACTGTATTTGTTCCTTGCTATTATTCTATTAAGGTCTGCTATTAGAGACCTTCACCTGGAATTCATGGGTATTATATCATCACATCCTTGCAACCATCCTGAGAGGTAGCTCGGGCTGATGTGGTCCAGCCAGCCAAGATAATGAGCAAACTTCACGGTCAGTGGAGGATTAAATCCAAGTCAGCTGCTCAACCATACAGACTCAGATCAAAGTTTCTTTGAGTAAATGAGAGTTCAGACAAACAAAATCTGCTGCTCTGAATGCTACTTTCCTTTCAAAACTAAAATGCAGCAGGTGGCTACCAAGGCAAGTGACTTCTTGACGGTGGTGCTTGCTGGTGGAATGTTCCCCCCTAGGGAGGCTCAGCAATATTAAATGATATCATTTGAGTAAAATGCAAAGACTGACCTGCCCTGTTTATCTTTGCCAATTATGCTTATACTGGCTTGCATTTTTCCATCTCTGATTGCTTTTACATGAGTCTTCTGAATGATATTTTTGTCCTACTGTCATTTTAATAGTTGTACGCTGTGCTGAACATTATAAGGATGTGGTGCCAGTTTCTAAGAACATATACCTGCCTCCTTTTTAATTATATCCTCCTTTTGAAGGATAAAGTGGTGGGCAACCTTTTGATGGTGAGCGCCACATTTGTTTGGGGTTTACAGGGGAAGTTGCAGGGGATATGCTGATGGGAAAAATGGATGAGGCCCAGCTTTGTTTATTGACTTATTTCCATTTGTTGCAGTCAAAAGGCAACAGTCAAAAGCACTGAGACTATGCACATGTAATTCTTAAAAAAAATAGAAATTAAAAGTAGAATAAAAGTTAAGGCATTAAAAAAGTCATTACCCAGCCACATTCAACCTTAGTAGTCATTACTTTTAGAGATGGCAAACCGTAGCACGATATTTGCAGCCTTGTAGGTATGGTGCACATCATTTACCAGCAGGTATGTATCATATATAAAAATTGACTACAGGATCCAACTTTGGGTGTTCAGTCAATAGGGTGACAGTAAAATGGTCTATACTGTCCCTAGTGTCATTAAAATAGGTACAGTATAAGTTAACATGGTTAAGTAGAAAGATTCTACTTAATCAGACCCATATAGTTGACATGACTTTTCATTAATATCTTCTGAAAATACCCTGGAGGACACACAGGTTGGGCCACATATTACACATTAAAAAAGTAAGAGCTACAAGGCATTGGACTAGTTTCAATCAACACTCAGCCATGGAAGCTCACTGAGTGACTTTGGCCCAGTTCCTATTTCTCAACACAAACTACCTAACAGGGTTGTTGTTATGGGCAAAACCTGGAAGAGGGAATGCTACCTGAAGGAAAGGCAGCATATAAACCTAATAAACAAACACACACAGTATCAAGGCAGATATAGCAACTAAACATTCATCCTAGTAAACCAATGCAAACAAATTACCTGGAGAACTTGAGGAATCATGGCAGCTTTTTTTAAAGGAAAGGATGAAGAATCTTCCAGCGTGGAAAGAGACGACCGGCTGGTTGTCAGCCAGGCCAGAACCAAGAGCGCATGGGAAGCCCTTTCCCTTCCCCAGTTCCTTCTGTCACCTTCTCCTTTGTCCAACTCTCTCCCTTCTCCTTATCTGCTCAAATGATGCAGGAGAAGGACAAGTCGATTGCAGAGGGCCTAGTCTTGCTTTAGGTTTAAACCTTCCCAAGCTAGAAAAGTGACCTAGATGTTCTCTAGCATAGGTGGGCAATGTGCAGCAATGACTGACACCCCAGTAGGGAACACCTACAAATGCTCCCGTTTTTTAAAACTGGATGTGACTGTAAGGAGTTAAAAATGGCGGAAGCCTCATAAGACATTCCAATCTCTTATATGTGGCTATTGCATGAGACTTCTGTTTTTTACTTCAGATGTAAATCATTAGACTTTAATGCATATCTTCTTTTTTGATGCCCATGACAGCCTATGAAATTGTATGATGATGCCTGCTGCCCTAGAAAGATTGTAGACCCTTGCCATTGAGCCCTTTAGCCCTCAAGAAATACCAACCTTTGCTATGTGTTCTAGCCATCTCCCAAGAGCTATAAATACAAACAGCATTGGAGGGGTGTCAAAAAATGTGATGGGACTCTGTTCAGCCTTTTCAATGACTGCAACCATCAAAATGATACATGAATAGATATAAGCGATTGATGTGGCCAATACTATAAGGACATCCATATTGGCCATTTTATGCTTTAATGACTTGTAGGCTTGGACATAGAAGTACCATCCACCCAGGAACTGGAAGGAAGAGAAAGAGAGAGAAAGAGAGAGAAGCAGTTAGCATTCCATCATGTTTTGTCTAGGTAGCTCAATCAAACCTGTTATTCTTACAGTAAAGATCTATAGCCAATTATATAATAGGAGATGTTAAAAAGAGAGCATTTAAAGAACCTCCGTACCTGAACCAAAGTACAAAGTACAAAGAAGAGAAGGTTTAGAATAGACAGTCCAGGAATCAGGTTTTGCTCCAATACCATTGATCCACGATGGTCATCAATGGGTAATAACATATAAACCATTAAGACCAAAACCGGAATACCAAACACCAGGCTGCATAAGAATGATTTCTTCCATCTGCAAAGGCAGAGAATCCACACTGTTAGAAGATAAGCTTCCCTGGCCACTTGATTGACAAAAGCAAATTATATCACATTTACTCCTGTGGATATCGGTGTCGTCAGATTTGATACAAATGAGCCCTGAACACGGAGGTGTGCTTCCATATTTTATTGCTGCACATGTGTGTGTGGGGCTACAATATCTGGCCTGTAGCAATCTGGATGACCACTAGATGGCAGCAAAAGGTCCCCTGGGTTTTTGCAGCCCAGCTATGATAGCCCATACATGTGCAGAAGTGTGAGACAAAGGAAATCAAAACTCTATAGCAAAAGGCACAGTGTGTATTTGGCCAGTCAGATTAGAAGCAATTTCCAGTTTACAGACTAGACTTTTATTCATGAAGACAGAGCTGTCCCCATTTCTCCTCCCCACCTGCAACTCCATCATAGAGTTGGCAACAAAGAATCCCTCAATCTGGCATGTTTCAGCGATGCATGGGTGTTGCAGGGAGAAGAGAAGGCGTTTTTCAGTGAGCGGACAGTTAACTGGAAAGGAACGTCCCTGGAACATTCATATATAAAATATTCTTTGGTTGGCAGCTATACTTACTGCTGGATCTCCTGTTTATGATCCAAGTTATGATCTTTTGGATCTCTTTTAGCCAAAGATGCTTGAAAACCAATTCCCTTTATAACAAAAAGCAAAGGAAATACACTTACAAATATAAATACAAAGGGTTAATAGGTGATTATGTTACGTGATTATGTTACATTAAAATCATGCTTTATTAATGACCAGAGCCGCTTTTGAAATGAGTGGCAGAACTGCTTTAAAATAGGTAGACATAATTTATGCTCGTGCTGACTGCAGTCTTGCTGACTAGGAATTTTGGAAACTGTAGCCCAGTATATCTGAAAGGTGCTGGTTTAGGGAAGACTACCATATTGATTTGCAACCTACTAAAAAGTGCAAAAGAGCACAGAAGTTGCCAGTGGTCTTCTACAGTAGTATCAGTCACTCCAACCCAGCTGAGATTTACCACTTTCCCAGGACTCTGGAGGCCAGTCCTAGCGGCTGCAGCAGCCTTCCCTAAACATTCCAGAAGTGTGGACTTCAACTTCCAGAATTCTCAGCAATAGCTACACTGGACTGGGAATTCTGAGCATAAAAATCTGGAGTGTGCCTGAATTGGGGAAGATTAAACATAATGTTAATATTAATTAACATAATGGCTCTTAGAAATGCTTGTTTTAATAGCTTACCTCAACAATTTTTACAATGTCTCGAGGACCAATCACTTCAGGATCATAACGAACCTGGGCTTTTGAAGTAGCTAGGACTACAGATGCACTGAGAATGCCAAGGGTTTCAGTAAGCTTCGATTCAATGCTATGAACACATGAACTACAAGTCATCCCTAGGACCTAAGCAAAATTTCAGTTAGTTGTCAGCATAGGAATCTGCTTTGGGGTGTCAAATGGACCATTGCTCCATTGTATCTATATCTCCCATGTAAAAAAAAACAAACATAAAGTTTCATCAGTGTGGCACTTTACATAATTTCCTGCTGTTCCAGATCAAGAAGGCATCTACAGTAGACAGAACATGAAAGGGAAATACAGCCAATGAGAATTCCAAGGATAAACCAGTCTTCCCTAGCCTAGTATTTTCCAGATGTGCTGAACCTCATCACACGCTAGCTGAGAGATGCACTGGCAATATATTCGGGATTCTCAGCTATTATATTTATTTTTCATAAGCAGCTTTGCAACAATTCTTACATGTCCCTCAGTCAATCTTTTTCTTGGGAGCAACTCAGATGCTCACATTTGCCAGCAGTAGCTGGAATAAACATAAATGTAATTCATTCATTGTTCTGGAAACGCAAATCTGTCTAGTTGGCATTATGTTTTAGGACTTGATATTCAAACAAAATTAAAACTACAAACACTGTACAGAGATGTACAGAAAAGTACAGGTATACAAAAATATGGTTTTAATTGCAAAGCCAATTGTGTAACCTGCACTTGAGAGTGTTATTCTTCCTGCTACTTACTTAAAATTTGCTGCTGGAATCTAAAATACAATATTTCAAAAGTCATATGCTTGAACCTAAAAGTGAAACAATCTATTCCTTGTTGAATATTCATATCTGTATTGTTCTGTTTGGGATGAATATGAAGCTTCTAAGAGTTTGTGCTGTGATGCTCACCTTAAGATCTATGTTGCCATCGGCCCCAGGATAATCTTGTAAGATTGAAGCTTCAAAACCCAAGTTCTCAATTAAATGGATTATTTCAAGAGGCTGAATTTTATCTGGCTTATATATTACCTCCACTTTCCCTGCCATCAAGGCAACAAGCACAGAGACTATTCCTGTAAAAACAAAGCTGCATCAGACATATAAAATCCTTCCTGAGTCACATCTAACAGCCTGAACACAATGGTAGCACTCAGTCCAGTTTTAAAGCATGACCTTTATTATTTAATCCAGCTACCATTTTAGGTACCCTGATGAGGAAGTAGATCTTTCTGAAATCTATGTCTTCCCTTCTAAGGAGATATATTTACAAGAATGTCTAACACCAACATCATAGTCGTATTCATGTCACTGCTAAGTACTCAATATTTGAAGCTAGGTTCATTCCAATAGAGTTATTCACATAACAAGATGATGCTAAGATAGCCCTTATGGTTTGGACCAACACCAAGCTATATCTAGATAATAGCAACGGCTGAAAGCCAGTTTCAAAGAAGAACCCAAACAATATAAAGAGAAATGTGCCATGCCATTTTACCATCTTCTTTTTGTAAGTTCTTCTCAATGCTTGAAACACATGATGCACAAGTCATGCCTTTTACAAGCAGGAAACATTTTTCAGTGGCTCTTTCACTGGACAACTTTGGAAAGTTAGCACACAACTTCTTTTTCTGCAAAGATACATCTTCAGATGACAATTCTGGGACTTTATTTTTCAAGGAAACAGACGTTAGCTCACTCAGCTCTGTGCCTCCATCAGTAGGTTTTCCAACTGCTGTATCTAAAATAAGATCAACACTGCATGAATATGCGGAGCAGCAGAAACGTTAGCTAATTAATATCCCAAAAGTATCTTAGGTCACCTTTGGAAGTGTTGCCTTCCTTCCTAGCAGTACTATATTTCTGAAGTTAAATGAAGAATTTTAAACAAATATATGTTGGAATGCAAACCCCAGATGGATTTTAACTTTCAAAAGATGAAAAGTATGGAATCAGGACTGAGAGATTTGAACTATTTAAACATGGATGGGCATTCTTCTTGTGCTGAAGACCACATTCTGTCAGAGGTAATTGATTTGGGGCTGTAGGGTAGAGAGAACAAGCAAGCAGTGGAAAGGAAGAACATCCATTGTCTCTGACGCCTGCCTTCTTCCTCTTTTTGAAAGCTCTTTCTTTTCTTTCCCAAAAAATAAGTTGCAGGGAAAGGACACCTCTTTCTTACGAGACATGTGATTTCTGTCCAAACAAATTGTGAAATGTTTATGCCAGTCAGACTAGTTAGTACTTTGATGGGAGACAACCTGAGAATACTGTACTAGGATTGTAGGTTAAACTGGAAAAGTAATCCTAAAAAAGGCAGTGGCAAACTTCTTCCATGCTATTACCAGGAAAACTTAATGGAAGTGTCCATGAAGTCCCCAGGAGTCAAACTTGACCTAAAATGACTTTTCAAACATTTGTTAAGAGACAACAGAACAAGCTACAATGATCTTATCCTACACATGATGGACTATTCCATCAGCAGCCCAGAATATTATAATTCTGAAATAATGTTGTTGAGTTACAGGTATGGCAATGTAAGGAAGTCTGCGCTGGACATAGTCTTTGCCTGATAGCTTCCTACAAAGTCTGATGGGCTTAAAAACAGTAAGCATAAAATTTAGCTTCTAACTCTTTCCAGACCAACTGAAAGTTAGTTTCTAATTATTTACAGATCATCCAAATATCATTTTTGTCTTCCAAGAAGAGATCTAGCCCTGCAATTAAAAGAAGAATTTAATTCATTATCTCCATGGATGGAACTTATATGCTCCATATTAATGGAAATCAATAGCCACAGTTTCCAAATAAATACCTGGAGCTTAAGGCAGCAATATTTTTCTTCAGGAACATGGCACACCCAGCATTTACGTATTAAAACAGTTCTGTATTTATTTTACCAGTGTACAGAACGTACCAAACTCAAAACATCATTTACACATTTAGGACCTAGGAGCCCTAACCCTAGGCTGGAGCTTATGAGTTTGTGTTCTGAATTTTAACCCAGTCAGAAGCAGTTCAGAACGTCTGGTTATTTAAAATTCATTAGGTCGACACAAGAGTTTTCATGCATCCTGATTCAATAGCAGAAAAAGCTATATCATACAATACCTTTTAGGACAAAAGCATCGAATCCCATGTCTTCTACAGCGGCTCGTAACTCTTCAGAGTTGGTTATAATGGAATTGTAAGATACAACTGCAGTACCTTCAGTTAAAGATACAGAGATGTGCATTACCCCTTTCCTTTGGGATATGGAGCCTTTAATAGAATTTACACAAGAATTGCAGGTCATTCCATCAATTTTAAGGATAGCTGTACTGGATACATTTACCTCCTGTACTTGGGGAAGGTGACTGGAGAAGGTAGGTAAAGAAGATGCAGCATTTGACATAAGTAGTCCATTCTGGCCTTCCAATCCACAAGAAAAAACTAGGTTAAAGTTACCAGGGGGAATGGCTTGGATGGCTTGCTGCAATGTAGATGGAGTGATGAGTTTCTGGTCAAACCACACAGTAATCTTTTTTTGTTCCAGGGATACTCTGGTGTCCTGTACACCAGCCACCTTTGAAATCAAACTTTCAATATTATTGACACAAGATTTGTCATGCATTCCTTCCACTTCTAGCACTGCAACACATGTGCTGGATCCATTCTTGGCCACAGTATTTCTGTCACCATCATGTTCATTGGACATTTTTACATTTATCTGCTGCAAGCGTTCAGCATCAATGAAACCTAGTGCCAGTGGGATTTGCTTATACTTTATGGTGCATTCGTATCCCAGGCTGTCTATGCTATTCTTTAGTTCTTCAGGCTTAATAATAAGGGGATAATAAGCAATGATAGCTTCTTGGTTGTTGAGGGCCACTTTGATTTTCTTCACCCCATGTAATTTCCCAATCTTTTCTTCAATAGTGTGGACACAAGACTGACAGGTCATGCCTTCTATTTTCACCTTAATCACAGCTTCACTGGACCATTGGCTTGAAGACTGAGCTGCCTCTATAACATTGGCCTCAAATCCCAGTTTTTTAATTTCCTGGCAGATCTGCTGAGAGCTTATCTCCAGTCCTAAATATTTTACAATTACATGACTTTGCTCAAGAGATCCTTTGATATCCATGATTCCTGATACCTTGGAAATTTTGTCCTCAATGGATTGGATGCAGTCTTGGCAAGTGATACCCAAAAGATCAATTGTAACTGTGTTTATTGGAGAATAAAGAGGAGGTGAATGATCTGAATCCTCCTCAAAGCTGAGGTTGGTAAAAACAAACTTCTGCTTCATTGCCAAGGCTGATATGCAGGTAGGTGAAAGGTGCTGAGACACAGCCTGAAGTGGACACAGAAAATTTAAAGCAAACATTAATTCTGCTCTTTTAATATATGGGATAAAGTAAGAACAATCTTTTTTGTGCTTGCTATTTATTTGTTAGCAGTTCTATCTTTAGACACTTCTAGAGCTAACAGTTATGAACATACCTATTTGTAGTCTTCAAAAACAACATATTTCTGTGCTCACAAAGAATTGTTTAACTGAGAGATCACTTATTTTCTTCCAAAAGGCCTTACACTTCGTCTAAGCAAGAGCAAGAGACACTGAGACCAAAATACAACTTTCTGATCATTTTGTTAACATATGTCTCAATAAATACTCAGGAAAAAAAGAAAAAGGATTTTTAGAAGTAC